GTCCCATAAAAACTAGAAAGCACTGGAACACAAAGGCGGTCAAGGGAAGAATTAAATTTGTTCAATGCCTCCAAGGAGGTAGGAGCACTTTGTTGAAATTTCTTCCCTGTGGCAAAACAATCAATTCTGGGAAGTGCCAGTTTAGAAGAGTGTGTGTTAGAGAAGGGTGTGGGTTGTGGAAAGGTCTGATCCATAATCCAGTATCCTGCCACTTTTGTCCTCAGCCGTCTTCCCTTACCTGTGCCTTTGCCATCCATGGCGCCATCTTAGAGCCATTTTTTTTCCTGCTTCAGGAAATGGATTGTAAGTGTCCCATGACTGTGTACTGGTTAAGAGCATGGGACTGGGACTCAGACGATCTGGGTTCTAGTCCCCGCTCAGCCATGGAGCCAACTGGGTGACTTTGGGCCAGTCACAGACTCTCAGCCCAACCTACCTCACAGGGTTGTTGTTGTGGGGATAAGATGGAGGAGGAGATGTAAGCTGCCTTGAGCCCTTTGTAGGAAAAAGGCAGGATATAAATTGAAAAATAAATAAATAAAATAAAACTCTGGGGAAAGGGGCACAGGACCACATGTGCCAAGGGCCAGCTCTGAAAAGGCACCCTTTTGAGAACAGTGTTCATTCATTAGGAATGGAGCAAAAGAGGACACTGTGTCATCTAACATTGCATACATAAAACACACTGTAGGACGAGAAATATGCTATTATTGAAGCCTGCAACAAGGGTGCCCCCATGTGGACACAGCCAGATATTCTGTTCAGTAGAAACAGGGTCTCCAGCTGAGGTCTACTCAAAATGTGTTCAGAGAATGCTTTCTGTTCTAGCGAGTAGTTTATACATTTCAAGGTAAAGATATGCAAATTTCAGGGTAGACTGAAGAATGAGGAGAATTTGTACATACAGACGAATTTCAAGGCAGAGCAGCGAATTGGATCAGTAAATACACATGAATTTCATGGCAGAACAGTAAAGTGGAGAGCAAAATTACAAAAAAATTCATAGCCATAGCCTTCTGAATGTGTGCACTTTATTTTTTTTAATTCATTTTTATATCACCTAATAGCTGAGGCTATCTGGAGGGTTAACAAAGGTTAAAATTAAACAAATGTTTAAAAGACACACACATTAATTTAAAAGAATAAAAGCACAACAGCAATTGCAATTGGTATGATTCAGCATAGTGTGTGCAAAACTGGAAAAGGTTTTTTAAAAAATTAATATAGCCAACATATTTGGAGCACTTACAGTCAAGAAAATAAGAGGAGACTGAGACTTGGAAGGACACCAATGAAGGAACTTGAAAAAATCATCAAGTGTATGGCTGCTTCACTGGACACCAAGGCCAAGATCATCCACATGACTGTATTCCTGACCACTGTGTTTGTACATGAAAGCTGGGCAATGAAGAAAGCTGACAAGAAGAAAATTGATGTGTTCAAAACATGGTGCTGGAGGAGAGCTCTGCAAATACTGTGGACTGACAGGAAGCAAAACAAGTGGGTTCCAGGTCAAATCAAGCCAGAACTTTCCCCGTAAGCAAAAATGACAAAACTGAAGATGTTCTACTTCAGGAACAGCATGAGAAGGCAAGACTCAGGGCTGAAGAGAGCAGTGCTAAGGCAAAAAGAAGGCAGAAGATGAAGATGACCAACTATGAGATGGAACAATTCCATGAAGAGAGCCATGGTCTTGCGTTTACAGGAGCTGAGCAAGGGCTGTCAAGGGCCATGCATTCATAGGGCTGCCATAAGTCAGAACACCTTAATGGCACGTAACAACAACAACGGTGTCTTTTCTGTTTGAGTTTTTGGAGGATGGCACAGAAGGCACTGAGAAGGAATGAGGGAGGATGGCAGCAGCACGGTTGAGATTGGAAGGAGTGCCAGGGGTTTTCACTTCTCCTCTCGGCAATTCCTAGCAACCCCTGATGATGGTGTCCGGCTAGGTTCAGATGTCTCAACAATCCGTTCTGAAAATGAGCTACCCTGATCAACCCAACAGCAAGCCATGGGTTCTCAGGGTGGCTTGTTCATGGAAAGTAAGCCATCCTGCATAAACTGTACTTGAATTTGCTGCCGTGACAACCCATAATGGGTTAGAAAGGAAGATGAGGCAAGAGGGTTACCTCTTGTGTTTTTCCGCTGCCTCTCTTCTTACTATAGAAAATTCATTAATGCAGTATGCACATCTACACAGTTAAATGTACGCAGCCTTGCAGCCCTTAGGCTACAGTCTTATACCCTCTTACCTGTTGTTTAGTCACAAAGTCGTGCCTAACCCATCACAACCCCATGGATGACATTCCTCCAGGCTTTCCTGTCCTCCACCATCCCTCAGAGTCCACCCAAGCCCACACCCGCTGCCCCAGTGACTGCATCTAGCCACCTCATCCTCTGCCATCCCCTTCTCCTCTAAGACTCACTGGTTTGATCTCTTTGCAGTCCAAGGGACTCTCAGGAGTCTTCTCCAGAACCACAATTCAAAGACAATTCAACTCCAGCACCACAATTCTTCAGTGCTCAGTCTTCCTTATGGTCCAACTTTCACAGTCATACATTACATTTAGTTCAATGGGATTAACTTCTAAGTTGATACATAAAAGATGGTGCTGTGTGTTTGCAGTTCTATTAATGACCAAAAAAACCCTGCCTGTTTCATAGAAACAGAGCAAATCAGAAGGGGCCTCCCAGGCCATTTACTCTGACCCCTGGCTCCAGCCAGCTCCACTCATGACATGCCTACCATGTGCATGTTTCAGGCCAGAGTTATCTCATGTTGGCTCAAGCTCCACAATGCCAGGAAATGGAAAGCTAAGAGTGATGCCTTCAGCTCTGTGCCCCATGATCAATAATGATCCTGTGCAATGTCACCGATGTGCTTGCTTACAACTTACTCTCCACATGGCCACAGTTTTCCTAGCTCTTGCAGGTGCAAATACCAATAGGGAGAACAGAGGGCCTTAGACCACAAAAAATATGCCCCACATTGCCATGGTCCTGTATGACTTTACGAAGCACTGGAACCTTACTGTATTGCTTAAGGAATCCTCTGCAAGTTGACCTACCCAGAGCTTTTGGAAGTAGGCAGGAAAAGATTTCGAAAAAGTAAACATAGAGGGACTTCATGTATACAGTATTACAGTCCAGTTCAGATAACCCTCTAATTAATGTTTTAGAAGATTAAAGCTGGTACACACCCTCCTTATTTCTTAGCTGGCTTCCTTGCTTTCATAACATTATCCCATAATTGGTCATTATGCAAGAATCAGCAAAATATAGTCAGCACTTACCTCCCAAACTAGGATCAGAAGACTGAAGCCAGTTTCTTATTTTGTTCTGAAGACAAGCACTTACCAAGGGTTACCAGTTTGGACATCATGCCAACAATGCTTAGTATGAAATAGAGGAAGAAACATGTAAGTCCTGTCCTAATTTCTTATCCTTTAAGCCAAAGTCTAGCTAATGTAGATGTTTTGCTTGTAAATTGTTTGTTTGTTTTGCAGACAAGCAGCATTTTAGGCTGATTTACAGCAAGAAAAGTGGTTTAGAAAAGAAAGAACTGCAAGATTGTTTGAGGTCACTGTAATTACATAAAGATGTTATATCTGTTCAGAAATATACAAAATGAGTTCTATGGGATCTATTCACAGGTAAGTGAACACAGAATTGTAGCTTTGCATCTGTCTATAGTGCAATACTCTCAGTTAAAAACCAAAGCAAGAATTAAAATGCAACACTCTAAGAATTCACAAATTACATGTAAGTTCCGCTATCCTGTTTCTATTTTCTATAATAAACTCTTGGTACTGTATTTTTCCCTTGCACTTTTCCCATGCTTTCGATTCATACTGAATTTTTCAATATGATTTATTTTCAGTATGTAAATACATAGCTTATCTCTTTTATATGCACTCCAGTAACATATTTTGTCTTGCATTTCAAGGGCTTGGTATACAGTATGATAATGTAATTACAATGTATTTACTCTGAAAATATCTACAGCATCTCCATTAAGTTCATTTGATTTGGAGGGCTGCAATGTTTCAACTGTTTAATGTTTTATTTTCCTTTGGTTGTGCTGTGTGGGCATGTTTGTACACTATTGCACCTTAAACTCATTCAGGAGATGCCAATGTTTTAGTTTCTCGTTTCCCTCCTCCCTGTTTAGCAAACCTTATGTACTGCGTACCTATTACAAAGTATTTTAGGGGGCTCTTTGAGAGCCACTTGACATTCCATCTCCCAGCAGGAGTTTTAAAAGGTCATTTTCCAAGCATAATGTCCAACTAGCAATTTCATCCTAGATAGGAACGACCTTACCCCAGAGCTGATGTGACTCTAAAGGCACCCATCACCCAATCAGAGATTTACAGTTAAATCTTACAAACCTTATTCAAAAATCAGTCCCATTATGTTGAATGGGACTTACTCCTAGGTAAGCCCCTTACTTAAGTCTCATTGCACCCAATAGAACTGCAGGTATTGATGAGTAGATGGGATACTGGAGAGGGGACAGAGTGCTAAAGAATGACCAGACCTGGCAACTCACCCTAACAGGCAAAAACTCGGGATACAAGGGGTGTTTCCAGTACGAGTCCCAATGTTAAAGGCTTCACACTGGAAGTGTCCTAAAACTAGAGGCTGCCAGAGCAATCCGGCATATTTTGAGTTCCCATCAGACCAACAGCCCACCTGGTCCAGGATTCCGCTCACACTGTGTCCAGCCTGCAGCCCACGGGGAACCCGCAGCTGGGCTTGGGGGGCCCTCGGGGCCTGCGTCGACCCGCGGGGGGCACTGGCGCCAGCCCCAGTTCGTGAGCAGAGGAGGACGCGTGCCAGGCCTCCTTTTCGCGAGCCAGTCGCCCCACCGCTGCAGCGCGCCTCGCAACCGACAGGCAAGCGCCTTCCCGGACGGGCTGCGGCCGCCCGCCCCCCAGTATCCGGGCCTCCGCAGCGGTGGGCGGCCCTAAGCCGCCGCGGCCATCCCCGCCCTTTTCCCTCCCGTACCTCGCACAGGAACTGGAGCCCGGGAGCTGGAGGTTGCTGCGGCCGCGGTGGCAGCCGCTCGGACTCCCTGCGGAGCCATCGCGCGGGGGCTTCCCGGGTACGTAGGCAGCGCTCCCCCTGGCGGTTCCCTGCAGCTGGGAGGGGGTCCGCGCGGCGGCGGCGCCTGGGGGTCTCAGCCCTCCTGCGCGCCGCGGAGAGTTGCGCGCGCGCCCCACTGGCCCGGTCCTCTGCGGCCCACGAGTCTTCGCTGCACTCGAAGGAGCAGCTCGGCCCGGCTCCCGCTTAGAGTTGTTGTTGTTGTTGTTATTATTAGAACATTTCTATGCCTGGAACCAGGTTGCCCGTTGAGTGTCCTCGTTTCTCTCGCAGCCTTTGCTGAAGCTGCATAATGACAGAAGCCGGTCGCCCTAGTGCCCTAGTTTTCCAGCATCTCCTTACAGGTGCAATTGCATGCAGGTTTTAACAGCAATAAATGAAAAAATAGGCCTACAACTCCCAGCATGCCCAAGCCCTGGCATGCACTTTAAAAAAGAAACTTGGTGGACACCCATGACAGCATGTTTGGCTGGGCTACGACTCCCAACGTTGTTCACCACTGGCTGTTCTGGACGGGGCTGATGGGAGCAGTAGGTCAACAGTGCCAGTTTATTGGCGTGCGCTCGTGAGCTGCTTGTGAGGGTTTCCCATGGGCCCTGTGGGTAGCTGCTGCGTGAGCAGAATGCAGGACTAGATGGCGCTTTGGTCTGATCTGCCACAGCTTTGTTCAGAGAAGTTAACTTACAGGTTGGCTTGTTTACAGGATTGCAAACAAGGTGCTATCTGAGCTTGCCCAGCAGGTCGGGCATTCTTGCTCTTACTGCCAAACCATAACTGAAGCTAAGAGACTGCAGTGTGCCCACACCCTGACATAAGGTGGGGCTCTCCCAGTCTGGGTTTCTGGTCACTGAATGCACCAGTTTATATGAAGCTTGTGCCTTCTAAGTTTCCACCTTTGCCTCAGACAAAGCCTTATTTCTGTCTATTTGTCTGTTTAATTTGTAGGCATTGAGCCCACCATACGGCAGATAACACAGGCCATTAAAGAGCCAGTCCACACAGTCAGTGTGACTTCAGATCTAGAAGGCCCTTGGGCAAAGTGGCCGTCCTCCCTGAAGGCTGTTACCGCTGCCTTTGCCCTCCTGCTCTGGACCCAGTCATGCAATTGCCAAGGCCTCCTCGCTCTTCTCCCTGCTTGCATGCTTAGGGAGGGCTGGCACAACGGGAGGGGAGACAAGCGAGGAGGAGGAGAGGCTGCTGGAGTCAGCAGCAGGTCCCTTGCAGGAGCCTTGGCCAGTGCCCTGTGAGGCCAACACAGAATTAAATGCGCTGTGCTCTGTGTTGGGTTGTGCTCTGATTATATGACAAAAGAATTCCAGTCTAGGTCTCTGCTTCACCCTGAAAGCCAGATGGAAAGGCCCACAACTTTTATAGAGAACTGAAATACTTGGTTGGCATGTAGATGGCAGTGGTAATGTATTTACTGTGTGGTTTTGGAGCAATTCAGGCAGTGCATCTTCCCAATAAGGGCGAAGTTAGCATTCAAGTGAATTAATCTTCAATAATTGAACTGGTTTGAAACCTGTATACCGCCCCACCCCAAATGTGGCTGAATTGAGAAACAGCCCCATGTTCTTAGGAACCCAGCACACACTTACTTCCATGCCAGTTCACTTAGAGTGGTAATCCAAATGCTGTTTAAGAGTCCTGTGTGACTGGTTTGTAAATTGAGTTATCCCTATCTCTTTAGTCCACATTATGAAATAAGGAAGGAGTTTCACAGGAAGCTTTAATGACATTTTCCCTTTTGATTTGTGTATCATTTCAGAAGAAGAAAACCATGTCCTACTCAGAAAAAAAGCTAGTATTTAGTCTACTAGCAGGGGCTGCCGGAATAAGTTTGGTCCTGCTTTGGTATCGCAAGATGGGAAAACACAGGAAAGCCTTATACTTGCCTGCATCTTTGAATTCGGAGAATGGTTTTGATTTGGTAGATTTTCAACATGAAATTCATAATGAACGGGGGACAGTGATGCTTTTACAAGGAAGACAGCTTCAGATGCTGGAGAAATTGAATGGCTTACTGGTAAGTGTGGAAGAACTTAAAAGAGAGGTGAACTTTCTGAAAGAAGCCATTCCAAAGTTGGAAGAACTTGTTCGAGATGAACTCCAGGGGAAAACAGATACTCGCAGGTTCAGCCCGTTACACAGAGCAACAAAGAAGAGGAAAGTTGAGGCAGCACAAGGTGTGCCAGACACCACCAGCTCTGAAGAAGCTGAAAGCGAAGGCGGGTAGGTATTTTAAAAACATTTCAGGTCTGTCCTAACCTTTAATGAAGTATTTGCATTTTGGTAAAAACAGTTTGCTTGCAGGTTGTATAACCATTGTTTTTATATGTTTACAAATCTAGAAAAACTCTGAATTGTTAATATATAAACAGTTCTTTGTTCAAGTGTTTCCTGGTGTTTGCACTTGACCATAATGCTTAATTATAAACTGTAGGTGATCAGACCTCAGTTGTCAGCATAGCTGTGTGTGGCAACACACTTGCATCTGTTTTCCACAAGCATTGTTCACCAGGGTACTGACCATGGGCCACTGGTCCAGCCAAGGCACTCTACTCTAGGTCTAAGGATACTTAGGGAGATATAAAACTGCCTGTGTCAAAAAGATGCACAGTTTATTGGATGCAGTAATGCAGTGTCGATGAAGAATATTAATAAACAATAGCACTTTCCTCTTCTGTGGCCTCTTGGTCTCCTGAACAGCCCAGAGGTGCTTTGTAGACCTCCAAAGGTCCCTGGGCAAGCGACCTGTCAGTTCCGCTGCCCAGACTGAGAAGAGATGACACTGCCCCTTGCCATGGATTTTATATATTCCTCTCCCCCACTATTTCAGAGCTTGTCATGATGCACCTAGGCTCCCTCGTCATTCTTGGGAGCAAAGCAGTTTCAGTAAACAGTATTGCTCTCACTGCAAAGTCATACCTTATCTACAGATTAGGGAAGGCTGCTTTAAGGCCATTATCTCTGGTACTCTTTGTGACAAGCTGAGGGTGATGAGGCCTTGGCCTACTTTCACAAAACTGTCTTGGCTTTTGGTTACTGCGAAAGTTCTCTATACTAACTGTTGAACTTCGGTAGCCTCCTCACCATTCTGCCGGTTGAGCCTGAACAAGAAGTCATGTATTATCCAAGTCAGGACAAACTGTGATTAGTTTTAACTATGGTTTGTCTCAGCAGGCCAATGCTGAACCTTCGTCTATCATCCCAGCTTGTCAGATAAACCATACTTAAAACTAACTGCAGTTCTTGCTTTAGATATAATAGCAAACAACAGTTAGTTAAAAACAGAAGCAAATATTTTGCATCCAGTACCCCAGATATGCTGAGAAGGAGAGGGTTTTACTGCTATAACCATTTCAGAAGGTATGAAAGAGAAGAGGTGATCTTCAGAACCGGTTGTAAAACCTGCAGTTTCAGGATTCCTTTCAGATATTAAGGTATTTAAGGACAGGTTATTCAAGGGGTGGCTCACAACCAGGTAAACTATGCTAGTTTTATTCCTTAGTTTGCCTCAGTTCCAGAGACCTATAGTATTACATCAGGATTCGTGTTTCTTGGTCTCAGCCTGTCCTGCGAATGGAAAATACAAACCCTGCCATGAAACTTATCGCATTCATGGCTAGGTCTGCACTTTTGCATCTAAGGTTGTATCTTAGACTGGGAACATGCTTGTTCCTCTATCACTAAAACCTGATGGAAACAGTTTAGTTTATTTCCATCTCAATATAAAATATAAAGTTTAGCATATAGCATAGTGTGCATGTACTAGGAATTCCAGCTTGTTGTGTTTGTACACAGCAAAATAGGACTTGCATGCATAATATACATGCGAGTTACATCCTGATAGATCATGCAAAAAATATATGTCTTGCTTTTTCTTAGAATCACAGCAGCTTTCAATGCTTAATATCATATTATTAAACAATTAACAGAGGAAAGTACAATAAAACAAATAATAATTATAAAAAGATAATAATGCAGACCCACCTAATATTACTCCATTTATAAGGAAGGAGAATGTGAAACAGTGCTTAATTTTAGTGGCAAGCCAAAGAGCAAAGAAATGTTTGGCATGTTAAATAGCTTAAGCTGTCATGGCCACTGTGAACTTTGTTGGATGCATGAAGTGTTAACCTCAAATTGGGAGATTTATATACGCCTGCCGCTGCAGGGAGAACTTGTCAGATGTAACGTGTCAGAGAGAACTGAAATGCAGAAGGTAGCCACAATGATAAATACCTTAACAGGTGTCATGCCCCAGGTGCTGCAGGATGAGGACATAGACATCATTGTGATGTCTGTGAAATGGTGGTCTGAATAGCCTATGTAGGATGATGGTAATTCCAAAAATTGGTTGCCAAGAATGTCATGTTCAGCAACCAGTAAGGGAACATTTCAGCCTTCCAGGACACTCCATTAGTGGTTACTGGAATAAAGGGCTTTCAAAGACGGATATCAGTGACAGTGTAGCACAGCTGGAGTGCAATTTCTTGCGATATTCAACACCATTTCCTATGGTCTGCATAGGGGCAAAGGTTTTGGTTCAGCGTGTGCATAAATCTGCCAGTGGGAGGTTAACCCTACATGCATTTGATGAAGCAGACAGCACATAAAATCTAAGCCAAAATAAATTTGTTAGACTTAAGGTATCACAAGAGTCTTTGTTATTTTTGCTACAGCAGACTTAACACATTACCCTTATGGAAAGTCAAACCAATAGTGTATCATTAGCATGGATACAATTGCACTGATGTTTCCAGGTGCCAGTGGTTACAATGTATTCCAAGCCTGGTTGCCTGAGATTAGGAAACCGATTGTCAAGGTTCTTTGTTGAATCTATGTCACAGCTAATTAAGGGATTCAAGCAGGATGCATTCCTGATACTAGCTGGCTGAACCAGCACTGTTCTCTGTGGTACCACTGCTGCAGCGGCCTTTCCCCCGCTTTCCTATTTCTGCCAGTTGTCCCAGTGTTGCATTTTGTCCTTGTTTCACAATTGCAGCACTCTGTTCTTTGAAGGCTGACTCCTGCCCTTGTAAAACTCAGCGGTTGGATCATGCCTTTTTTGGGGTTGGAGCCAATGAGCTATTACTGCAATTTGTATTTGTTTTAAAAGTATCATTTCAGATTTCAGGTGGCAGATTTCCCCACCGTGGTGCCCTCCAGATATTTGAAAGCACAATTTACAGCATTTCTGATCATTGAACATGCTGGCTGGGGCTGAACAGAGTTGTCGTCCAAAACTGCCAGAAAGCATCCGGTTGCCAACTCTTGTTCAGGGGAGGCCACAGCATGGAGATGATGCAGATGTGTTTGCCACATGATGGACTGCATAGACCAGAGGGGAAACATGGTGTCCTCCATCTGTTTTGGACTGCAGCTCCCATAATCCCTAACCACTGGCCATGCTTAACCATGGGGATTGTGGGAGATATACTCCAAAATCCCCGGAAGGTACCATGCTGCAGTAAGAATATACATCCTGTGCCAACCAAATTCTCTAGAGATAACTTTGTTAAAATAGGAGATGTTGCAAACGTCTGTGAGTACATTTGTTAATATAACATAGTCTAAGACCCAAAGTGATCTGTTGCATGTTATGCATCAACTAAAGATTTTGAAAAGAATAATTCTGAGAACCAGCCAGTAGAAGGAAATCTTATGAAAGTCGCAGCTTTTTGGGGGGGTGGGCAAAAAAAGAAATGCAGACAGAGGTCCATTGATGAGTGGCTAACAAAGTTAATGTCCAATAGACCTTTGAACATTCTTTTTATAAAAAAATCATGTGTAAAACAAAAAAAAAGACAAATAGTGATGATAAAACATGACGCTAGCTCAAGTTATATAAAAAAGTACAGAAATGTCTATGGATTTTTATGGAAAGAAAAAGAGAAAAAGGAGATTTGCCTGTCAACCCATAATTCCCTGCCTGTACTTATTCTTCAACATAAAATTCTGAACGTTTCCTCTTCCTGTGGCTTTTTTGACAGCTCTGCTTTCCTGTATATGATGCTCTATGTAGACCCTGCCATACCTGTAAAAGGGTTTGAAAATCCAGAGTACAAATGGAAATCCAGGGTACAGAGCTGCCTGGCTCACCTGTCCTCTGGTTGCTGTTCTCTTCACAGATGCAACTACCTTCTGTTTCTTTTGTTTGTCCTCTAAGCACTGGCTGAGAGAATTATGAATCAAGAAAACCTTCCCCAACTTGCCGCTCTCCAGATGTGTCACACTACAAATCCCACTATCCCATTTCAAGGGTATCAGGTTGGGGAAGGCTGAATGAACACTGAATGACTGTGGGGTCCTCATTAAGTCTGGTACTCGTTTTTACAAGCCCAAAACATAAAACACCACACATATCGACAGACAGACAGACAGACAGACAGACACCCAAACCATTGCAAACTTGCAATAAGACATCCCATTGCTATTTGAGCATTTCTTCATGTGTTAAATTTTATTTGCACAACAAATCATGCAATACACTTTACTGCCTTTGCAACCTTGTGAGGACAAGGCCTTGACAGATATATTTGAAAGCACAAGGTTGTTTACTTTGGCAGAGAAGAGATCATTTCTCTCTTCTCAAAGTTTTGCTGATTCCAGAAATGGCATTGACTCCCACGACAAATCAAAATGCCTATATTGGACTTAGTGCTGACACAATGAACACTCCAGAGCTCATGTTGTCATGCAAGAACCTGTAATTCCAATTTATTTATATTTTTCTTTGCTGCTGTTCACTGTTTTCAGGCACTTTTGGTTGGCCTCCCTTCCTCTCTTTTTTTTCATATAAACCATAAATATTTCACCAGAAACAGAAGATGGAACTAGTATGTATTAAAAAGTTGGGTTGTTAAATTTCATCTAATTCAGGCTGCCTTTGAATGTTAAGATATATCTCATGGCTCTTTCAGGGTGGAAGCTAGGAGGAAGGCAAAGATTGCTTTTACTTCTAATCTGCATAGGATGCATGTAATCCTTCTGAGTTCAGAGTGTTGTAGGTCTTCCTACTGGACAGTGCCGTAAAGGTTGCATAGTAACATCTTTGTAACAGGCTCTCAGCAGCTTTCAAAGAGGCCATTTTTCCCTCCATATTTTAGTTACATCACAGCTCACACTGATACTGAAGGTGAATCTGAAGAAGAAAAAGGATGGACCAATTCCTCCACATATTATCTGACTCCAGAGGAGAAAATAGATTTATTTAATCTTCTACAGGATGTGGACAGACTGCATTGTGGTTCAGACTATGAGAAAAGAGAAAGCTTCGACCTTTTGCTTCAAAATAAGGAAAAGGTATGAAAGGTTTCTGCCATACTAAGATTGTTCTCATAATTCAGTTTACTGTTCAGTGGCATTCTATTAAATGGTTTTGTAATGTTAGAACTGAAGGAAATGTTAGTGTATGGTGCTTGGTGAAAAAAAATCTGGTATTTGATCATTTCTTTGTTGTCTAAAAATTCGATACTACTTCCCCGTGTCAAAAACTTGCTGAAAGCAATTTTTCAATATAAATTAAATTAAGCATGCATGTGGTTCCCCAGTAGTGCATGAGCAGAACAGTTGCTGAAGTTCAAGATACTGTTTCATTGCATGACTAAACTAGTGCAGGGATTCTCCACATACACACAGAGGATTGACTTGTGCAGAAGTCAACAAACTACTGTATAGGCTTTTTTTCTGTGTTAACAATGTGATGCAGGAGCTAATGGGAACTAGTTGCATCTGTGCCACAAAAGTAACACAAAAAGCCCAGCCTCGTTTCATATGGAAAGAGCCACATTGCAGGAGCTAACCTGTATGTGCATGTACTGGTGGTGTTCCTGCTGCTAACTGGGGCAAAAATAAAGCTTCATCACCTCCCACGCCACTAAGGTGCCACACAAAAGGTTCCACAAAGCAAGTTTGTGATTTAGAATGTGGGCTGACACACTTGCCTTCTCATTCATTTGAAACTGGATTGCTGTGGTTTAGATGGGATGTCCAGTAGCAGCCAGAAACTTGCACCAGTATTTGCAGAATGCATGGGGTGTTTGTGTGAGTGAGAGATTTATAACAGACTTGCACACCTGTTGTCTTCTTTCCACTTCTGATTCCTACATCATTTTTGATCTTTAACTTCTGAGTTCATCTTGCCTCATTTAAAGAGAAGTGGCAGATAACAGCAAGAACATGGAATAGTTTTCAGCTTTGTCATTTTAGGGCTTATCCACATGATCTAGCAAACTATGACATTGTTTCACCTCCTTTAATAATTGGAGTAGCACTACTTATTTTTTCTGTCTGATCCCCTAGGATGCTTTGAATCAAAAGAACACCAATGAAAAGAGGGGTTCATTGATTGTAATTGGATGCCTTTATATTTCTCTCCCATTGAACCAGGGTATAGATATGCTCACATGCAATGTTCTTATTTTAAGAGTGAGGTCACATGGGTAATGTGGAAGTCAAGGTATAGAAAGGCCTCACTGCATTTCTGTGAATGCATTATGTCAATTTTGTTTGTACCATCAAAAGTGAATTGGGCCAGTATCTCTTAACTCATAAAGTGAAACTGACAAAACTCAGAAACTGGTGGTAGAATTTTGAAATGGCCAGGTTGACTGTGTTTTACATATGTGTGCAAATGTATCAGGCTTGTATAAGACTTTATAAAACTTATCTCAAAAGTTGGTTGAGCCCACTATACAAAATATTCAATCCCAGCCCTTCCTTACTATGCAAGTTTTCTACTTGGAGGGATAATTTATGTGTGTGTGATTTTTTTCCTACAAGGGAACATTCCAAAGTTTGATTTCCCCTCCTGAGATCAGAAGTGCCATAGCGTGTTCTTCTGCCTGCTTTTATTCAGCCAGCCTCATTCACAGCGCATCATGTTCACATGAAGCAGCACTGCTGGTGGGAGAAGGTGGAAACCTTGCTGTTACCTGCCACTTGTCTTTAAATGAGGCTAGATTTGCTCAGAAGTTAAGGATCAAAAATGAATCAGAGGTGGAAAGAACTGCTGGTCACTGAGAGATGTAGACTGCTTTTGCTGTGTTCTAGTTGTCAGCCTAAACAGCATCAGAAGTGCTATTTGGAAGAAGAATGATGTCTTCTTAGACACAAAGTTTTACGTTCAAGTACCAGTCAAATGTGATATTCCTAAACTGGAAGCTCTACTGTGAGGAAACATATTTGAATTCTGTACAACAAATTAGCAATAATTTTACACTTACTGTGTTGTTTTAAAAATACCACTGGAAAGGTTTTCCATTGTCACTAAGATTTACAATGCATGCGTGTATCTAGTTCCTTAACTTACTAGTTGCTACAGTAGAAATAGTCAAAAGACATGCACCTAACAAATGACTGGAGACAGCTGGAGAATTTAGACTAAAATAAAATGTATTATCTGCAGAATGGTATGTGGGAGCTAGTATGCTAATCGTTTTAACTATGTCAAAAGAAATCTAGAGGAAGGCAGTCTAACGCATTCAGTTCTGTTTATGTTCAGTACAGAAACTGTGTTGGCTTTCTTTGGAGACTTGCCCGAGCTTACGGAGACATGTTTACAATAACTGCAAATGCTGAAGAAAAAAAGACCTATGCATATGAAGGTTGGTTGGACAATATACTATTTTATTTAAAGCAGTATCTGATTATTCAAACCAATTTATCACAGGAAGGATTGTTAAACATGATCTGAGAGAAAAGGAAATTTTATTGGCACATTCACACACAGAAAAACAAAATGGAAAATGCAAGAGTGTTGGCTTCCATTTATCCACACAAAGCCATCCGGAGTTGAAAGGCCTGCTTGGGAGGGAGATGCCATCCTGAGCCCCTGATTTTCTGTGCTTATCCAGCTTCTTACAAAGCAAAAAAAATGGCAATGGCGATAGTGATGGGATAGTTTATTTTTCATTGGGAGATGAGCTACCTCTGTCTCCATTCTGTTTTTCACCAGCAGGGGGAGACAGGAGCTGGCAAAAGGGATGAATGTTGGTCCTTCTTAAAAGCTATCAGGGTGAGCATGTGAATTATCCATGCTTTGACCCAGTTTGCACAATACAACAGCACCTTAAAACTCTGTGATGCATTTTCGCAGGAAAGCTTGTGGGTGAGAATGCCCTCAACCTGGATTCATCAAATGCTGAAAGCCACCAGTGGTAAGTGTGAACAAGGGAGGACTTGAATTACATTGAACTGAATCCAGATGAACAATGTTCATGTTGTATCCTTAAGCTCGCAAACTGTGCAAAAGGACTGTAGCTCAGAGGAATAGAATTTCAGTGCCTGGCATCCTGAGAGAAATGCATTTGCCTAAAATCCCCAAGAGCCACTCCCAATAAGAGAAGAGAGTATTAAACCAGATGGATCAATGGTCTGGTGATGCATAAGGCAGCTTCTTTTGCCCATCCCTGCATATACATGCAGTATATACATTCCAGGAAGATTCCATTTATTCCTAGGAAGTCTTCCAGCTGAAAGATATGCACAATTATTGCCATTAGAGATTTTCATGTGTTTTGTATTCTTGTACTTACATGGAGCTGAAATGCTGTCTATACTGGGAATTCTGAGGTGCCACCTAAAATGGAAAATCTAGATGATGTCCTGTCATTAAATTATTGTTATTCTATTGTTATTAATTTCATTTCTGTACCACTCAAGAAGCAAAATTCTCTGGGCAGTTTACAACAGTTCGTAAGAACAATGCAATAAAATGACATAAATTTTAAACATAATTTAAACAAATGTTAACCATATCAAAACGCAAATGTGTTAAAACAAAGAACAGCTAAAACAACATGCACTAAAGATAGCCCTAATCTGATGTTTCACTTTGCCTCTTGCTAGAGTCACCCCCTCTTCAAGGGTAGTGAATGCCTGATCAGGATCCACATAGATCCCCAATGCAGAGCAGATCAAACAGAACTAGAAGAAATGGGAGCTTCACAAAAACACAACATGTAGTTTTGTCTCTTGGAATGCAAAAGTATAAGTGGAAACAGAAAGCAAAAAAGGTTGTGTTGTCTAGTACAATATCGATATAAAGCTATATCAGTGAGTAAGCAAGCGGAAGCGTCTTTCCTTAGTGTCTTATGCTGTTTGGGAGTGGTTAGGTTGGAGCACTTTGAGGAATATACATCAGAACTTCTCATATTTCCCTGTATTGCTCGCCATGTTCCAGCAATCTAATCCTATTTTGTGCTTCCAGGGTACAAATAAGGAGAAAAAAGGAGGAGAAAAAACAAGGATATATAAATATAATTAAATAAGTGTTCTAACAGTCTAATCACATGCTACCTATTTACAGTTTAGCTGCAGGAGAGAATTTTTTAATAGCCCAAAAAAGTCATAGAATGAGGTTGTGGTTAAGAACTAGGTCAGTTTTACAATTGAAAAGAATCAAATGTAGTGTCTTACACTGCCTGTGTAACAGCGGCACTCACCACGTGGGGAGCTAGCTTTTCTTAAAACAAGTCTAGGAACAAATGAAAATCCCTTTCTTGAACCAGAGCAAATCAGAAATCAGAGAAGGGAGTATTTTTTTCTTGTCTCCATTCTTGCTATAGGTAGCACTAACTCTCTGTTGCACTAACTGTAGGTCCATTTGTGCAGCTCCGATATTGGATGCTACCCTCTGAGTTTCTAAATAGATTAATGTTTTGGGAGTATCTTGTTCATTTGTTCTTAAATGGAAAAAGTAATATAATAACTTTTTAAAACTTTTGCAGTACACTGGTACCTTGGCTCACAAACTTAATCCGTTCCAGGACTCTGGTCATGACCCAAACTGGTCGTGAGCCAAGTTAAATTTCCCCATAAGATTCACTGTAAATAAGGTTAATCCATTTTGTAACTTTTTTTTAATCAGAAAAGAAAAGAAATCAGAAAAGAACAGCAAAGATTGCGAACATCTCCCCCCTCAGCCCATCCTGAGCATGAACGTGGCTATCTCCCCGCCCCCCCCCCCAGCACAACCACAATCGCGCCCATCACCCCTGCACACGCCCGTCATCCCGGCGCACCTCGGGGAGGGAGAGACAGGCACGAACATGAGTGCATGGGGGGGAGACAGGCATGATCGTGCTGGGGGAGGAGATGGCCGAGATCGTGGTTGCACTCCTGCAGGAAAGACGGGCGCGATCTCAGCCATCTCCCCCAGTACGATCGCAGCCATCTCCCCACTTGAGGGGGTGGGGAGACAGCTGCGATCATGGTCGCCACCCAATGTGAAATTTGCGACCTGAGTTAAAATTGTTATGAAATTTTTGTTCGCAACCCGATTTGGTCATGAACCGAAGTGTTCGTGAGCCGAGGTACCACTGTATTTCTGGAACTCAGACACTGCTCTGTATTTCTAAAGTATTATTATGACTGACTAACATTTTATTGTTACAAGCAGGGATAACTCAGTTCCCCCCCTTCTTTCCCAAATGTATGTATGTAATTATGAGTGGGCAACACGTGGCCCTACTAATGCTTTGGCCTACAACTCCCATCAGCCCTAGCCAACACAGCCAGTGGTACAGGATGATAATAGGGTTGGACATCTGGAAGGACCTAAATTGGCACTCCTTGATGTAACTTAACATCACAACTTCAGATGAGTATACTAGGAAAGTGTATGCAAAGCTTCTAAGTGTGTTGCAGATTTCTGTCTGAACATTAGGTGGAGTATGTGATTCTTTGTGCTCCTTGTTTTCTGCTGTCTTTAGCACCAGTTCTTTTTATTGTTCTTCTGTGCAAATCTTTTGGGCTGTTGAGGCATTTCATAGTCCACCAAGGCTGCAGTCATGCTGATGAGGACTTAAACCTCCCAGAAAGCTTCAGCTGTGAGGTGGTATAGAAATAAATAGCTTCCTTTGTAGGATTCCAGTGAGGCAGAAACATCTGTGTTTGTGGGACTGTAGCCCAAATCAATCTTAATGACATCTGTATACCACAGCTTTGGCCTTCCCTTCAGTCTTGTGCCGTGCAACCTTTGTCTATCCTTCCTGCTCAGCACTTATAATAATGAAGAAAAAATAGCTATATGACCCAATTAGCACAACTTAACCTCTTGCTAAATTGTTGTGTGTTGTGTTCTTCTGCCATATTATTTCCGGGACCTTTCATTGTAAGATCAGCTATAGCTTTTCAGTCCTTTATTCATGGTAGGGTCTGATGCATTTCCACTCAGAAATCAGTCCTGTTGATTTCAGTGGCACTACTCCCAGGCAAGTGTGTGTACGATTGTGACATAACCTGCTCTGTTACAACGTGGTGTGCTTTTTTAGCCTTACAGATAGCTTCTTTTCACAACACACCCATTCTCTCTGCTTGCATGAGCTCTTCCACACTTTAAGTCAAGATAGCTTTTTTTAAATTGCACACATCACTTTCCTGTCTTCATAAAATATCTGTTTATTTACATTGATTCCATTCTGGTGTGGTCCTCCATGCAGTTCTATCCATAGTACAGATCCTACCACTTCAGCAAATAAAACTGATCCAGTTCACATGATCACCACAGTGATTAAGCACATTGCATGGGGCAGCCACATGCTTGTCTTACTTGCTTCATTCCCTTCACTGACACCGCTTGCTGTGTCGCCTAAATCCCTCAAGGATTGCTGCCATCTTTAACAAATCACTCAGAAATGGTATTGACTGTTTACAGTTCTGGGGTGGGTTGTTAGCCTTGGCAGCAACTAACCCATCACCAGTTTTGCGTAACTATTCTGTGCCAGTGACGGTAATTAGATTTCCTCTTTACAAGGACAGGAGCTTTGTCCTTGTGACTGTCGCTACAAGTCACAGGTGCCTGTTGGATAATATCTATAACATTGCTATGATTGATGATGGAGGCCTCTCCGCTGCCATATCATATTCTGCCCTTTCCTGAGGTTAAATTTTCTTGTTAAAAGAAAATTAAAGCTTATGGCCTTCAAGTAAGACAGATACAGCTCTTCAAGTGGAAAAAAACCCCCAAAGTGGTGTGCACCAGCAAATGTACTACCTCCTCCTCCTCCTCCCACAATGTTTCTTCTTTTAACATAGTCTTCGCTTTGAAGTTGTCACGGAATTCTCTTGGTTCCTTTCTGGACCTTGCCTTTCCCATCACTTCCCTTCACTGAGGTTGAAATGTTGTTTGGCTTTCAGCAAAATAAATAAATACAAAATGATGAATTCAGACTTAAGTTAGCCCCACTGCAGTCACTGGGACTTGAGTCCATTATGACTGCATTATATCTTATTGATTTAAATGTGTCTAATCATGTTTAGGGACTGCGGGTGGCACAGTAGTTTAAACTGCTGAGCCGCTGGACTGGTTGATCGAAAGGTCGACAGTTCGAATCCACAGACTGGGTGAGCTCCCGTGCTTTGTCCCAGCTCCTGCCAACCTTGCACTTCAAAAGCAAGTAGATAAATAGGTACCACTTCGGTGGGAAGGTAACAGCAATTTGGTGCAATTTGGTGCAATTTGGTGTTTAGTCATGCCGGCCACATGACCACAGAAACTGCCTGCAGACAAACGCTGGCACCCTCGGCTAGGAAACGGAGATGAGCACTGCCCCCAAGAGTCAGACATGAATGGACTTTAATGTCATGGGGAAACCTTTACCTTTTTTTACCTTATAATCATGTTTAAGTGTGGATTTAATCCATAGTTCTTTGTCTCCCCTCTTTTTATGCACCTCTTTCCAAGTGTGCATTTGCCCTTTTCCATGCTGTCGCAATGCATCTCTGCTTAATTTTAGGTTAAATCACCTAAAAAGTGTGACCTGAATGCACCAAATATCTTTAACTCTTTCAACAATGTCTCCCACTACCCCCAGCCTCCAGACTACAAGACAGATCTGGCACTATGCATAAAGATTGTAGCTAGCGTGACTTTATACTAAGAAAAATAAGCTGCTTTTTATTTGTCCGGAAAGGCCTTTATATGTAAAAGTATCGCCAGCACCTTTCTTTCCTTGTCACGCACAGACTTGGAGATTCTGTGAGCTGCAGGATTAGCTTGTTTGCATTTCATTGTTTTCTTTTCTAGCTGCAATCCGTTTAGCTATGGTATGCTGAATTCATCTGATTAGCAGCTAATGAATGGGGGGGGGGTTAGAGAGAAAATGTTGCCTGCATTTTTGCAACTTATGGGAAATAAAAGTTTAGTAACTTTTACTCTTCCTAATACTTGAAAATCATTGGTCTTCCCAAACTTGAGCTGTCAGCAGTCTTGCTTACTGGATTTTATTTTATTTTTTTTTTTGGACAGGACAGTAATGAATGATATTCCATTATTGCTTCACTTGTCTCTTTTGGAATGGAAGCATATCCTGAATTTGTACTGAAGTGGTTGAACTCTGAGAAACATGCATCTTTTAATTCAGATGGGATACTCCTCCCATGAGCCTTGGAAAAGAATATCTGTGGGGAAGCCACCCCCATCAGTTGTAGTGTGTAATTGTTTGTCGGGGGAAGTAGCTGGGAGGGTTTAGTAAGTTAAAATAGCATGAACCCTTAGCTGTGTACAAAGCCAACTGAATGGCTTTGAATAGATTGCGTTTTCAGTCTGTGTACACATACACACAGAGAGAGTTGAAATTGCAAAAATTTGAATCATTGAAGGGTGTGTATGGGACCTTGGCTCACATGAGCTGCAGATATTTTGAGCAGGTAGATATACCTGCACATGTTAAAAGTAGAATTTTTGCCAGCTAAAACAAAGTTAAATTGATGGCTCTCTTGAAGTTGTTGAGGGAGTGGTCCTGTGGCCTCTAGACACTGTTTGGGTGGGTATCGGATATTTCACATTGCCAGGTCCAAGGTCAGAGGTAGTGGTGGGAAAAGGGAAGCTGTGCTCCAACTCGCTAGAGCTGGGATGAAAAGAGCCGTGGAGACTGCTCCCATCTAAGGCTCAGAACTTGGTCTCAGAGCGCAAGTAAAGGGGCATTCTGATGGGCCCCTGAGGGGCAGAGGCTGCTGTGGCCAGGGCACAGTGTATCCTGTGTCCCTGGCTGCCTCCTCTCCTCTCTGCCTGAAGCCTCCTAGCTAGATGCCTGAAAATGCTGTCCAGCAAAAAGGCAGAGTGGGAAGAGGGGAGAGGTGAAGATGGCCTCTGCCACTCCCCCACTCTGCATGACATGATAATCTGAGTTAGGAGGAAGACGATTATCTCAATTAGATTGCTCCCTATCAGTCATCTGAGATGCCAATGCTCTGTATGCTCTCCAGGGAGTAAGTCCTGTTGAATTCCGTGGGATTCACCTCTGATTAAATCAAGCTTTGGAGTGCCTTGTGCAGCAGTACATATGAACAGGGCAATTGTTCTAAACAAAAATACAGATGCAATCTGTATACAGATGCAAGGTCACAGGGTCAAAATTAGGGCAACATTTTAGAAGAGCCATTCTGTCATGTGAGAAACAAGGAATGCCTGTTCTAAGTTGGTCCCTAAGTAGGTTTTATACTGAAAATAATGAAGAATTCTCTCAAAGGAACTTAGCCAGGCTGGCATCACTGTGATTAAAATGGTTGTGAGTGTTCCGTACATCCCAAACAGCACAGCTTTCTTGCTGCTTCCTTTTCAGGTTTGCAATATTGTGTGGCTATGTGTCTCAGTTTGAAAATACACAGAACAAAATCAGGAATGGCTATCTGTTTAAGGTATGTTTTTGGTAGCTTATAAGCTGCTGCTATTATTAAATTACCTCATCCTGACAGTTTTGAAGACTGTGTTTACAGTGGAACTAAATCTGCCAAGTGGGGGCAAACTCCAGCTGGGGAGAGGAGATTTCCTTTCCTTTTTCCTTGTGTGTTCCTACCAGACAGCTTGGAGTAGCTTGCAAAAAAGCAAGCAGGATTTCATGAACGAGTCACAAGATTCTTGTGCTGCCCCCAAGGAGGAATGTCCAAAGAGTAGCATGAGACCAGGAAGGGTGCGCATACTGATGTGTTTCTGTTAGAAGCATTTCCATTCATTCTTGTCTTTCCTTAACACTCACATTGTCCATCAATGCAGTGCTAACAGCAGTGTTAAATGCTGCTCATCTTAAGATCTGTGGCAGTATTGCTATTGACTTCAGTAGGATTGCACCCCTTAACTAGTATCAAGACATTACTTTTGCTGTTGATTAGAAGTAATGTAGATCATGCTTTAAATAGATTATATTCTTGTATACTTTGTACATGTGTGTCCATTAATTCTGTTTTGTGGCTTTTAATGTGCCTATAGCTTTGGCCAACTCTGATATCTATACATCACCTGGACAAACATGACAATGTACATGAGCCTGAGCCTATGTCTAGGGAGCTGAACTGAAGAGAGAAAGGCAATTCCTCATTCTGATTTTCTTTCTTACAGGAGCATCTAGACAAAGCAATTGAGCTTAAACCTCAGGATCCTTTTTTGTATTACTTAAGTGGAAGATGGTGTTATGAAGTAAGTGCATTATGAGCTTTGACTCACTTACTGAACTGCAGCCCTGAGGCCTATTTAAAAATAGTGCAATTGAGCAATCTTGCAAAACAGAAGGTATAATGCTAGCAGCAAAATTAGCACAGCCATCACCTATAGCGGAGGTGTGATGAAGTCACCATGAGCTGAAAGTGCTTATGTGGTGGCTACCTTGATGGACAGTGCAAGTATTGGAGTCAACACTTGCCCAAGGATGAAAATGGGCTTTCCATAAATGCTAAAGTTTAGCCACTTCATTGGATAAAACCCCACAACTTGTAATAAGTAGATTCACTTAGCTGTGGAATCCAGTTCTTAAACCTGGAGAAGTTTGTCATATGTGTGTGTGAATAATTGGAAAACAAAGTTCCTGCATGCAACTGAGCACTGGCTTTGGGCTAGGGAAGAACCCTGTAGAGGCAGATTAATTAGATTTCTCTTTAAAGGTAAGCACCAGAACTTTGAACACAGTCCAGAAGTTAATCAGCACACCGTAGAGCTCTTAACACCGGGGATTAATCTGCAGGCTGGGGATTGTGCATGTTTCGTGCCCAGTGGACTGACCTGTGTGTGGCTTCCATTCCATCAGTGCATCCCAGCTTATGATCCCTTCAGTCAGGCTAATCTCTGCATTGCAGTTTTCTGGGACTATAGCAGGTTTGGGTACGGCAGCTCTGAGCTTGGCTTCAGTGTTGTGTACAAACCTGCATCATGCTGTTTTTGTAATCTTTGCTCAGTTTCACCTTTCCTGGCATTGAAGAGCCAGTGGAAGAATAGAAAATATACTTTGGCTCACAGATCGTTCTCACATTTATTAACCTGGCTTGATTGCTTGTCCAGACACGGTATTTTGTCTTGGTAGCTGAAGGGTATTGCTTCTGGACCTTGTCTTTTTAAATCACTTCTACATTCCAGATATTTTTAAGTGTTGCTTTTTGGATTTTAGCTACCTTGCACACGTTTCAAAATCCAGTAGCTACAGCTGTAATTATTATAGTTCCATTGTGAGTAGATCCCCAAGTTATAGGATTTCACCCAATATTCTTCTTTTTAAACCTGTCATTTAAGGAATTGAATATCTTTTTGAAAGAGATGCAATCTGGGCTTAACGTATTCCACCTGAAGTGTCATCTATCCAGTATGTTTCTTGTTTGTACCTGAAAGCCATTAGCGCTCACGCCAAACTTTGCTGTTATTTTCACAACACAGAACACACTGTTTACAGCTAGTATCTTTGTTTCAAGTTATTCAGATTTACCTAGGACACCACCATGGTCTGAGACTGAAATACTATAAAATTCCTGTGGGTTGGATAAGAGAATGTCATAGCCAAATTGGAAAGTAGCCAATACACAGATAATATAGTTGTTCTTATCAGGTAATCTAGATGGAACTGTTCAGGAGGAAAAATTATATCTGAAGCAAGGCATTGGATAAAATCTGGGATCAATTAAAATTCATGGAAGCAAAATTCCATGGAGGTCAGTGGCATAAAGAGAAAATTGATTCAGCAGAGCCATTGTGGGGTTCTGGACAAGCATTCAAGTTAGGTTAATAAATGTGAAAACGATCTATGAGCCATTTATTTAAGCTGCCTTACCTGGGAGTAAGCCCCATTGAATTCAGTGGTGTGAATTCCTGAGGAGACTTATGTAGGATTGCCCTTCTTTCAATATTCAGCTGTCCAGTGCCATGATTAGAGCATTTGGGTTGGATATGGGAAAATATTTGCACACCTGTAAAGCTTATGGTGTGGCCTTGGGCAAATGCAGCGTTTCTCGGCCTAATCTACTGTACAGGACTATTGGTTGGCTAAACTGAGACTGTGGTGCAGGAAAAAGCAGGGTTAGAAATATAAAAATTAAAAATAGCATGTGTTTTCCTATTACAGATCTGAATGTAAAAGCAGTCTTGGCTATTTTGCAGCTAAGCTCAAAATCAGACTGGTTTTGGGAGACCGTGTCATCTTTTGGTTCCTTTTGGCCTACCTCTTAGGAGTAGTGGAATAATTTAGTATATACTTGCACATCATTTGTTCCAAACAGTTTTCACTGGCCTGTTCTTGCAGCTTACTTGGTGAACTTGGGCTGGTCATATTTTTATGGACAACTTGTCAGGATAAAGCAGAATAACCCCATGAATGTTGCCCTGTTGTCCTTGGAGAAGGGAAAAGATCTGTGTTTGACAAATGACATATGCCACTTTGAACTGCATAAATCAGCCTCCCCCAACTCAGCACCCTCCTGATGCTTGGACTATAATTTCCATCATTTCCAGACAGCACTCCTGATGGGGTTGGGAATAATGGGGGGTGGGGGTGTTTTTCAACACATCTGAAGCTGATCAAGTTGGGGAAGCTGTCAGTTGACACACAATTGCACAGTTGACACAACCTTTATGAGTAGGACTGGGATTATTTCTAATATCAATATTATTTTTAAAGCAGTACAGTAAATTCACTAATTAAAATAATATTAGAAATTGTACTGGATAGTTTGCTCCATAAAAGTGGCTGGAGCATAAAAGTTAATGCCATGTATGCAATGCACATACCAATTGCAATTTTTGGTGCTGCTCAGATTGCTGTTTTTCATAAAAGCTAGTAGAGCCAAGTAAAACAGTTGCTCTTTGGGGAGGAAGGGTTGTTGAGCAGTGCAATCAAACTCTAAGCCAGCAAAAAGATGAAACTGAAGCCTTCTACATCTGTTCTTATTAACTTTTGTAAGAAAGCGTATAGTACCAGAGAGATTTCATAGTTTATGTTCAAGCCACAGATTGCAAGAAGCTAACTGTACATTTCACAATGGAAAAAAAATAGAAGACTATCTACTGACATCAAGATAAACCTTGCATGAGATCCATAATTTTGTGCTACCATGAATGCATGTATGTGTGCATGCATGTGCACATGCGCCTGTATGACTATTAAACATGTGGGTGGTATATGGGAATATTATATCAGCAATATTTTTTTCTCTGGTAATGTTTTCCATCAGTCTATATATGTTGCAGTTGGATCAGCTATTCTTCATCCTAAAACTCTTCCAAGGGAGTATGCTGGTTGACTACAAGTGCTGCTACATAAAGAATTTTAAAGCTTGAAACTCCAAGATTTTGACAAAAAAAGAAGTAAAATAGTCCAACAGCATTTCTCTTAAAAGGGGCGTGAAGAAGGGCCTTAAGAGGGATGAGTCTGCATGCCTGAGACTTCCCCCAGGATGATTGCTTTCATCCTGGCACTACTTTTGCAAATCATTGATCGACTTTTTCAATGATTACAAAGAACATTTTAAATGTCTACATTCTCTGTGTTAATCCCCTCACCCATGTGAAGGTACCTAACTTATCACCCAATCACAGTTCTATCTGTGAGTTGTCCCTATTAAAATAATTGCCATTGTCTGTGCTTTGTGCATTTCAGTTCCCAGGGAGCCAATGTAGGATAACATTTTCTATATCTAATAAAGAAGGCTGTAATCCATGAATGTTTATATGACAGTGAATTTGTTAGTCATGTTGTTTCTTATTAAATAAAATGTAAAATCATAGCCTGCCTTATGTGGGAAACCAAAACAAACCCCTGGCTGATGAGATTAAAGCAGTTTAGTTGGTAGACATTTCTATACCTTTCCCAGAATAAACTCAATCCCCAGAGCCAAGTCCATTAATACCAAAGTAAATGCTCTGGTAATGAAGGGGGGGGGGTTAAATTCTGCTGTAATTATGCAGCACTGATTGAAACTGGGACCATAATGTTCCAGAAAGGGGCAGTTAAACCTCTCCCCACCTTTCTTTGCCCCAAAATACCTTCCCACATGCCTGTCTCTCTCTCTCATAGGAAGGCAGGTGAAAAAAGTCTTTGTCAGCTCCAAAGTGTCTTTTTTTCCTCTTCACTTTGCTCTCCCCATGCAGGGAGTAGAGATTTGGAATAAAAATGGGTGGGAAGAAATGCTTAACCATCTCCCTTCTGGAGTGCTACATTCCCAGTCCAAAGCCGGGCTGTGTGTGCTTACACTGCAGTGAAGAAAGCCCACTTTACATGGCTTCAGTATGACTGGGTTCCCATGATATACCATAATCCATGGTTCCTTTTGTGGTTCCTTTTCAAAGCACTTTGGGCTGCAGTTTCTGAAGGGGAAATACAGACATGTATAATGGATGGGAAATACATTCCCCTTACAAGGTGATTGAACAGGGTGGACTAAGGGGGGCATCAGCCCCAGCAGTGCTCACACCTGTCCCAGGAGTCCAGTTTACCCTACATTGTGCAGTTGCCTTCTCAGGTGTTTGGTGTGTTGTTTTGTTTTTTGAGTATGGTCTGAAAAGGAACCATAAACAGCTGGTGAATTAATATCTCCCCTTTTTCAAGTAGCCGGAAAGTTGGGAAGTGCTGAAAAAGTAGTTGAAGATTGTTGGTTCAATACTTAAAATCCAGAAAATCACATTGCCAGGGGGAAGCAATTGTCCCAGGTTTTGGTGTATTTGATCCTTTGGCTCCCCCTCCTTATATTTTGTATGCTTCTAAGTTGTGCTAATCAGTTTCTCCATTATGTTACTATTATTTCTCCCCCAGTTCTTTACAATTGTGTGCATATAAGCCAATTAGCTTTATCTTGTCAATTTCCTTGTATGTTGCCTATTCCACTTGCTCCCTTTGACAGCTGAAACAGATAAGGCTATTGACCAGAAAAGGCTATAAGCATCAGATATTCATAAAAGCATACTTCTGAAAAACCAACAAAATAATCCATTTTTAAATGACCATATTTTTGAGGCTCCAAAAAATGAAAATACAGGGGAATGAAATGTAATTAACAATCTGAGCAGAGAGAGAGCTGGAATGAGGAGACTTTGTTGAATACCACCCAGAGAGCTTTGGCTATGCAGCAGTACAGAAATAATATAAAGGAAATGAAATGAATGAGGATAGTTTGTGCTGCAAAATTCCTTGGCCTATATGACAGAGCTGGCTGGAAGACTGAGGAGGAAAGAGAGGGAAAACAAGTTCAGTAATCTGTTGAGTGTACCATGTTCAGCAAACAACATACAATGTCTAACCTATTTGCAGGTAACCTATTTTGTGTGAACTGCCCTATGTGTGATTACAAGAGTGTCTTATGTCAGCCATCAAAAAGCCTTTCAGTCTTTGTGAAAATTACTCAGAGTCGGCTAAGCTATTTGGGGGTGATGTCATTGACAGCCCTAGTCATCACCCCATTCCAGCACCAACTAGAACCTCTGCAGGCGTCTGCAACCTGCAACTAGAACCTCTGCAACTAGAACCTCTGCAGGCAATGTATGGCTGTGAAAGCTGGACCATAAGGAAGGCTGAGCACTGAAGAATTGAGGCCTTTGAATTGTGGTGCTGGAGGAGACTCCTGTGAGTCCCTTGGACCGCAAGGCGATCAAACCGGTCAGTCCTAGAGGAGATCAACCCTGACTGCTCTTTAGAAGGCCAGATACTGAAGATGAAACTCAAATACTTTGGCCACCTAATGAGAAGGAAGGACTCCCTGGAGAAGAGCCTAATGCTGGGAACAGTAGATGGCAAAAGAAGAAAGGGATGGCAGAGGATGAGGTGGCTAGATTGAGTCACTGAAGCAGTTGGTATGAACTTAAGTGGACTCCAGGGGATGGTGGAGGACAAGAGAGCCTGGATGAATGTTGTCCGTGGGGTTGTGATGGTTTGGGCATGACTTCGTGACTAAACAACAATATGGCAGCCATGCATTTCTGTGCCATTTCAACATTCATGCAGAGGCAGCTGGTTCACCAAAGAATCCCAATCCTGTCTCTATTTCCCAGGAAGAAATGCAGACTGTCAAACTGAGTCAACTGTAGAAAGAGGTATCTTTATGGCCTATTGGAACTCACATTTCCCCATTCTTGTTGGTGTTGTGCCTCATAGCTGTAGTACATGAAATATGGTGTGTTTTGTTTTGGGTGATCCAATCCTGTCATATTTACTGAGAAGTAAATTCCACTGGATTTAATTGAGTGTGCAGTGTTAGTCTGCCATGGTACTTTTTTATTTCCCAGTCTTCTATATTTAAACAAACAACAACACAAACGAAAAGGTGGGATTGAATACAACATATTTGTTTAAATGAGAAAAATGACTGTGCAGCTCTAACTTTTTAAAGGAGTGGTTTAAAATGTAATATTTTGGAATGTTGTTTTATTATGACAGTTGGCTTGCAAAACAATATTTTGTTTCATAACTTTTAAGTATCTCTTAACAGCTGTATTTTCCCATTTCCTCTTTTTCTGGACTTTTCCAAGGTGGCTCAGCTGTCTTGGATTGAGAAAAAAATAGCTGCTGCTCTTTTTGGGGCTCCACCGACTTCAACAGTACATGAAGCTTTGCAAAATTTTCTTAAGGTATTTGCTGTTTCTCATTCCCTCAGCCCCCGCTGCCCCATTCACTTCTTTTTAAGGGCCCACCTACTAAGTGGCTGGGGTTCAAGAAATTTGCTCACCAAGTTCTTGGCTGCTATAAATTCACGGTTCTTTAAACTCTAACCATTTCCATAATGAAATATCTATAAAAGAATGCCTGCCTTGGCCTCTAAGGTGCATATTGTAACTGCTGTGTCAGTATCTGTTGGAACTGGGGCTGTGTTGCAGATACAGCTCTCTGGATTTCAATGGGGAGAGTTGTTTTTAAAGATGCTTATGAGAAAATTGCAGCTGATATGGCTCATAGCTTGTTCATAGAATAAAATGAACATAACAGCCTCTGCAGTTTATAGGTACTAGAAAGATGTGAGAGCAATGCCAGCCCATATCATGCTTTTCAGATGCTCACTGCTTTTTGGCCCTTCACCCCCATCTTGCAGTGTTGAAACAGAAACAATGGGAGATTCTTACAATGTGTGATTTAGTATAGAGCCAGTGAGGTATAGTGGTTAGAATGCTGAGCTGGGTCTTGGGAGATCCAGCTTCTAGTCCCCACTCAGCCATGACATCAACTGGGTGACTTTGGGCCAGCCAAAGACTCTCAGCCTAACCTACCTCACAGGGCTGTTGTTAGGGGGATAAAATGGAAAGGAAGATGATGTAAGCCACCTTGGGCTCCATATAATGGGATAAAGGCAGGATATAAATATAAATATATGACAAATTGTCTAGATTTAGGTGACTGGAAAAAGTAGACGTCCTTGCAGGACCCTTCTGTCCTCCTACAAACGCTAAAACATGACGGACATTTATCAGGTGCCCTTGAATCTCTGGTTTTTCAGGGAGTGGGCAAGCAAGCTGTTCTGGGAAAGGGATGGCAGGAAGCTGACTTTCAGGCATGCTGTGCACTTAAATCTGGTTCTAGCCCTTGCCCTTTGTCCCTCGTCATCTCCTGTTTCTCCCATGTGTCAGAAAACTTCAAATTACTGTGCTGTAGCTCCTTTTCTTTTCTTTTTGTGTTTTCTCTCAGGCTGAAGAAATACATCCTGGATATTCTAAGCACAATTATGTCTATTTGGCAAAGGTAACTAAAATTAGGGAGTAATCCTATGAGTGTTTATAGCAATATATCCCATCCTGTATGCAGAAATGCATTGTGCCTAAGAGCTATAGGACTTTTTTCTATCTAAACATGCATAGGATTTCACCCATAGTCCGTTTTCCCTTTCTTTCCTTAAGTGCAAAATGCAGTTAACTAAATGCCTGATCTCCTTGCTTCCCACATTCCCAGTGCTACAAAGAACTTGGCCAGAGGAGCAATGCTCTGAGGTGCTGTGAAACTGCATTGTCAATTCTGTCTGTCACAAAGGAGGTAGGTCTTTATGACACAAAGGTTTTCTTTGTGGCTGGTTCCCATGCCTCATCAGGGATGCATAAAAGCTATGAGGCTGGAGATGGGGGTCAGACTAGATGGCCCAGGAGGCCCCTTCTGACTCGCTCTGTTTCTATGTTTCCTTGAACATGTAAACAGCCGAGATTATGAAGGTCAGTTTGGAGTAGCATCGATACTGGGGAGAAATGCATAGTAGTCCTCATCTTCTGCAACTCTCAGGGCTTCTGGGGAAGCATTTCATGTCCCATGTTCAGGACCTTATGAAATATGGGAAACTTCTTGTCAAATGGAAAGTGGCTGCTGACTTCCCTGGTATGGCTGACGGCACTTGCACATTCAAAATGTGCACATAGGGTATTACAAAATTATGTAATGAAATTACGTATTTTGAAACTGCATGTAAACAGATGACTGTCAAAATGGCGTGATGGTAATTTTAATGAGGAACTTGGCAGCACACAAGTGAGTCACACCAATCAGAAGATTTGCAGCTGTGTATTTTAGAATCACCACATGCAATCTAGTAACTACGTATTCTGCAGTACAGTTTAGCACTACCAAGCCAAAGACCCACTACGCAAAACATGCTCCAAGGGAACTTAAAAGAGAGAGAGAGAGAGAGCATGTGTATGTTGTGGGCAGCGTGGCTGAACTCAACAACTTGATTCAGAAAAACAGTGTCTTGTGATTTACTGATGCTAGAATTTTGAGATGAACAATTCTGTGGTGCGGTCTTTGGGTAAGGTGGAAATTTTACCTGGTAGCTTTTCCTGCGACAGACATTATTTTGGCAGAAATGCTCAATGAGTACAATAAATACTACCAGGCACTGATACATGATTTCTTGGTTAGTTAGGTCAACTTATTGCCACTGAAATCACATGTTAAATGAAAGCTTTCAGTGGATACGTGAATTAAGCCATTGAGAGGTCTGTCCAAGACTTTTAGTAGAGTCCAATGCTTCAAGACAAATGGAGAGGACCGTGACAATGGTCTGTCTAGCTTTTGCTTGAAAACATGAGATTTCAAACCCCTAGCCCTAACCCTTGTCCTGCTATGAAACTATTCCTTACCATGCAGTTTCTAAGTTCATTTTATGCAATTCATGTTTAAGTTAAGCCTGTTTTCCTGCCATCTAATCCTACAGGGCACATTCCAAAACTATCTGAGGCTTTGTTATGGCCATAGAGTTCTGAACGTGCATAGGCTTCCTTCTGCACTTCTGTGAACTTCAAAGCACTTTGGAGTCTCAGTGCTCGTTGGAATAGTATAGCATTCATAAGAGACTGCTGTGTACTGCTATCCTGCACATTCAGAATTCTGTGTATATAAGAAAGGCTTAACTTTAGATAGCACTATTCATGAGTTCAAAGCATTTCATGTACATTATCTCTGTAATCATATGCTAGGCCTGTAAGGCAGGCTAGTACTGGTTTCCCATAGTGCTGATGGGGGGCTCAGCACGAGCAAGAATGACTAGCCTAAGAACATCTTGTGAGTTCCTGACTGTGGTGGAGATTTGCTGGCTCATGCCTGGCATTCCTGTCCCCAGCCCAATTAGACTAGAAAGCTGGGGCATAATTATCCATCACACTAATACTGGCGCTGTTCAGGTGACACGGTTCTCCATAATTTCAGAAAGACCTGCAGATAAGTAGGATGGTCCCTTTATTTCCACAAAGGAAGGTGGAGAAACAAAACAAAAAGAGAAAGTCCATGTTCGAAACATTATCAAATAAAGTAATTCACATGTCAGAAAATAGAGTAGAGGTGTTTTGGGGTGTGAGCAAAGGATGAACTGAACTTTCCCCACTGCCTTCTTCCTTTTATGTACCTACTTGTTTGAGGGGGCACCTCATTTTGAAGACCACATGGCATCTGAACAGAAAACTGATTTAAGTGTATCCCACAAACCAAGACCAGGCCCTGGTTTGCATGAACCCTTAAACCAGAATTTCAGGTTCAGGTATCTTGAGAAACTATGGTTAAGAAAATAGGAATTATCTTTTGAAACTATGTGCATGAAAGAAAGAGAAGGAGAATCCAAATTGATCACGTATTATTGCTTACTGACACCTACATATTATATCTGAATGGGCCTTTCCTTTTTGCATCCTCAGTAGGTAGGTTGAACAATTGTTCTTGTTTTTCTTGATGGTCTTTTGGCACTGTATAAAAGTGCCCAACGGCTTTTCCCATACAGTAAAATTAGTGGGATGCTTTAGCCTTCTCTCATACACCTTATTTACTTGTTAGTCACTTACCTGTATTCCCTTTGCCAGGGATGGGGAGCCTAAGACTCTCCAGATGTTGCTGGATTCCAACTCCTATCAGCCCTGCCAGCATGGCCTGTGGATAAGGATGATGGGAGATGTAGTCCAACAATATTTGGTAAGTCACCGGTTCCCCATTGTGCTTTGCACAGTGTTATCTAGAAATATACTTACTTTGCTGTAGTGATTACTCCCACTCTTACCTGTGGTGTTGGCTAGGCAGCTTTTGTTACTTGTGTAGGGATTGGGCCCACTCCTCCTGTTAAATAGCCTTCAGAAATTATGGAGATGGATTCTGAATCAGGCCAAGGGGAGGAACTAGAATCCATAACTGAAATGCCAAGGCCAATGAACCTAGAAATAAGCCAGGCAGTCACCGGGAATTGTGCAGTTTCAAATTCTGTGGGAGAGTTTAGCAAGTGTGCTATTGTGGAAGGGGCAGGCTAGAATATGGTGCCAGGTTAAGTGGGTGGACCTGCTGAGGTACCTCAGATGCTCCAAGCCGTTGGCCCTGAACCTGGAAGATCCGCCTTGAAGGTGCAGTTTGCTGTTTTCAGTGCAAAAGGGAGAACTATTTGGTTTGGAATCAACATCTTACTATTAAGCTATATTCTCCTGATGGCCAGTAACCGAACTTAGCTTTTTTCTTTTGTTACTGACTTCTGCAATACTCTTCCTTTGTACTACAAAGCCAGCTTTAACATAATCCCTTCAGTTAGAAAGCTTTTTGTTCTGGTCTGCTTTGAAGGAGGGGGAGAAGAAAGGCTGCAGCAACTGGAAACCTTGAGCATCACTCATCTACTGAGTGCTAATAACATTACAGTGCTCAACCCTGTCCAATTTGTTAGTGTGGCTTGTCCCTGGAGATTGCCAGTTGCTAGGGCACAATGACTGGCTGGCCAAGCCCCAGCACTGATACTTACACTTTGTGTGAAACTCTGGGCAAGTTCATAAGTTTAGGAAACTCTAACTGCTTAAAATTCATGCACAGTGATGCAGCTTTACAAGGCAAGCAAATGCAAATGTTGATACAACCCCAGGATATTCAAATGCACCGTCACTAAATTTGTAATGGTACAGTTAGAGTGCCCAGACCTGTTGAGAACCCACTTCATTTCAGCAGCTTGCCTCTTATATGGCTTCCTGCATGCACTGCATTTCAAGTAGCCACCCAAGCGATGTGTGTGAGTGCAGCTTGGCGCTCAAGGACCTTGCCTTGCTTAGGGCCACCAACTAAAGTCAAGCTGTAAACAGCTGCAAGGCCAGGATAGCTAGGGGTGGATTATGGTGCGTCTCTGAATACCTGCGTTTTAAAGGCTGGGAAATAGGTTTTTGTTTTTGTTTGAAAGCAAGGCACAGGCTTGAAGCCACAGGGGCACTGGGTTCACTGAAATGCCTCCAAAGATGGTGGTTGGAGGATGAAAACCTTTAATTACGATCCATTAGAATTATATGTAATGAATACTTCAGTTCATTTGCTTAAGAGGAAGTTGGAAAGGAAAAGCATCATATGAGGTTGGGGGGAGGGGTTCTCCTTCTCCCCTCTTTCAGCCTTATACTTTACTTTTGTATAATGATTAAAAGGAAGAATGAAGCAGTTATGTTCTCTTGGACTACTAATGCTGAAAATAATATCTTGTTCACATGCAGCAATTGGCATTGCATTGTAGACATTCTGGGTGGTTCTTCCAAGGTAATTGCATAAGTTTAGTTGTTTTTCTCCCCTCCCCTTTTTCTTTCTTTTTCTTTTCTTTTTCTTAGGATAAAGAGGCCGAGGAAGATTTACAGACTTTACTTCCATCTCTGAAGCTCTGATAGCTACAGCAAGAAGAAGCACTTTGGGTTATGTCTGATTCTGCAGAAGATTGCCGAAAACCCAAAACCCAGTTCTGAAAGCATTCTTATGTGCCCTTGTTGAGTTCAATGGGATTTATAACCTTATTGGGGTTAATACAGGATGGTGGGGATAAATCTTAAACAAGGAGCATTCGCATCTAAAGTAAGAAATGAAAGCTGATGGACTTGAACTAGCAAAGTCAACAACTTACTTACTTCAAAGACAGAAGAGGGTGGCTGCAGTGTGCCTTATCCTTCCATGCCACTGCAAGTCTCCCAACACAAACGCTTCAATTATCCACGTGGCGGATGTGACTCACATGAAGTGTTCATCAGTGACCACACAAATCAACTTAAATCATCTGACAATTGCTGCACATGTGGTCTCTCTGTGTGGCTGGAAGAAAATGTCGCTAACTTTGGAATTAGTTTGAAATACTATTTTCCTTCTTAGTGCCCAAATTCTACTCTTAGACATCCAAGACCACCTCATGTATTTTATTTTTAATAGAATTAATGTGCAATGAACAGCTTGTAAATTAGTGAATTCACCATTAGGCAAATGATGACAAGAAATGGAGAACTGGGAAAACATGCATCCTTTCTTTTTAAATGCACTGTGACTATTTCTCTAATTTTAAATTTTACCTCTTTGCTGGGAATCTCTAAGCATGAAATCCACTGCTGGCAATGGATATCTTTGTAGTTGCTGAATGATGGGCATCAGCAATTTATTTTAAGCTTCTGTCAGAACTGGGGAACTGTCAGATATTGTGGACTCCAGTTCCCATCAGCCCCAAACAACTTGCCCAGTGGTGAGGTATAGTACGGGGTAGTTCATAGGTTCCCCAGCCCTATGATGACCAACTATTTCTGTTGCAAAGATGAGTAGTAATATGAATGCATCTTCTTTGTTCTTCTTTCAGAAAGCCTATATATTTTTGTGGGAGAATAGCACTTTCTGGTGATTATTGTAATTTATGAATTATAAATACAATAAAGATTTTTTATCCATCTAACATTTCTAAATCATGTTCTTGAAACACTGAAAATAAAAATAGGAAATGAATAGAAATATAAAATTTCTAGGTAGATGTGATAGAATTGGCTGTTATGGTGGTATCAGAGAGACTTTGAGGAGAGCATTGCTTTGGTTGGATCTCTGAGGGGAGAAATATGCTCTTCATCCAGTGAAGCAGAATCATGGGAGATTTAGCTAAGGCAAAAGAAACTACATGGTGCACAGTCAAGCTCTGGATTTCTCTACCACAAGATATAGTGATGGCTACCAACCTGACTGGTTTTAAAAGGCAATTAGCCAAACACATAGGAAATTAGCCTATCTGTGAATAAGAGGAGGGCATAACTGTTTCCTTCAAGCCCTGCTTGTTGGCTGCTAGAGAGATCTGGTTGGCCACTGCAGGAAATCAGGCGAGGGACTAGGTAGGACTTCAGTCTGATCCACTGCGGCCCTTTATGTTTGTGAGCATCAAAGGGAAGATCAGCCTAAGAATGTAGAGAATTTCAAGGAATAACATGGACTTTCAATCATCACTGTGCCCTTCCCAATTCCACATGCCCAGATTTGCTCAAAGGAACTGCTTTAATGTAGGCAATTGCTTGCATTCTGGGGATCTGAGCAATTCTGGTTTGTTTCTATGACTAGAGAATCCTTTTTCAAACTTTTCAAGACAAATCTTACTGAGTGAATATATTTTAATATAAATATAATATTTCAGGAGAAATAGAATGTCTTTCTCCCTGTGGTCCTAGAGTGACTGCTAATCTTATCTGCGGAGCTACAGTGGAAAGTTTAATGATGTAGAAACTATTAGCAAAAACAAACATTTCAATGATTCCAATGATTTATAAAAGGCCAGGATTGGAATGCCCTCCTTTCTCATCTCTTCAGGTCTTTGCTTTTTCCTCCTGCCCCTGTGGGTTGCTTCTGCTCATATCTCCCAATTATCAACCAGACAGGTATCCTGCCTACATTAAGTGTTCCTGCTTACTCCCAAGTTGCTTTCCTCAGGGCTGGCTCCTGGAACATTACAGCCTTCTCCAATCTGGTGCTCTTCAGATGTTTTGGACCAGCTCCTACAAGCCCCAGACAACATGACCAGTGGCCAGTAATGCTGGACTCTAGTCCTCAGCCTCTAGAGTTCTCCAGATTTGAGAGGGCTGTAGAATATCTCCCCACATATGCATACTCCTTCTATCAGTTGTTTCCTTCAAGTCTCTCTTGCTGTAATGGAATTAGCAATGAGCTACCATTTATTTATTTATTTATAACATTTTTATGCCGCACCCATTGCTGAAGCCTTGGGGCGGCTTACAAAGAAAATAAACATAGAATACATTAAAAATTTGGAGTTTCTCGGCCATAATTTAAAACCACAAACAACCGATTAACAATTAAAATATCGTTTAAATAAAAAGGTCTTGGCCTGGCACCGAAAAACAAATAACGACGGCACCAGGCGGACCTCTCTGTGGAGCGCATTCCATAGGTGGGGCACCACCGCAGAGAAGGCCCTCCTTCGGGTACTCACCCTCCTAATATTCTTCACAGAGGGCTGTCAGAGAAGGGCCTCCCCCGCCGATCTCGGGGTGGGAGGGCATATATGGACGCAAGTGCTCCTTTAGATAACCAGGTCCCAAGCCGTTGAGGGCTTTATAGGTGATAACCAACACCTTGAATTGGGCCCGGACTTCAATGGGGAGCCAGTGAAGCTGACGGAGAACTGGGGTCATACGAGAACAATGCCCAGTCCCCATCAGCAATCTGGCAGCTCTATTTTGCACCAATTGAAGTATCCGGACTGTCTTCAAGGGCAGCCCCATGTAGAGCGCGTTACAGAAATGTAATCGGGAAGTTACCAATGCATGTGACACAGTTGCCAGGCAGTCGTTCTCCAGGTAGGGACGCAGCTGATGGATCAGCCACAGCTGATGGAAAGCGCTCCTCACCACCGCTATTACTTGAGCTTCTAATGTCAGCTCTGGGTCCAGGAGCACTCCCAAGCTGTGAACCCTGTCCCTAAGAGGGAGTGCAACCCCATTCAGGACAAGGTCCAGGTCCCCCATCCCGAAGCCCAACCCACCTACCAACAGGACCTCCATCTTGTCTGGCTTGAGCTTCAGTTTATTGGCCCTCATCCAGCCCATTACCTCAGCCAGGCACCGGTTCAGTACGCCTCACCTGGATTGGTTGAAAAAGAGAGGTAGAGCTGGGTATCATCAGCATACTGATGATTCTGCAGCCCACACCTCTGGATGACCTCTCCCAGCGGTTTCATGCAGATGTTGAATAGCAAGGGGGACAAAATGGACTCCTGCAGAACTCCATGGCATAGCTGCCATGGCGCAGTGTCATAGTCCCCCAGCACCACTTTCTGGAATCGGCCATTGAGATAGGAGCGGAACCACTGCAAAGCAGTGCCTCCAACTCCCAATCCCGCAAGCCTATCCAGAAGGATACCATGGTCGATGGTACTGAAAGCCGCTGAGAGGTCCAGGAGAACCAACAGGGATGCATTCCCCCTGTCTCTCTCCTTGCACAGGTCATCATACAGGGCAACCAAGGCAGATTCAGTACCGTACCTGGGTCTGAAGCCAGACTGAAATGGGTCCAGATAATCAGTTTCATCTAAGAGTGCCTGGATTTGTCCCACCACCACCTGCTCTAACACCTTGCCCTGGATCCAGGGATGCCTTCTTTAGGACTGGCCAGACTACCGCCTCCTTTAAAGGGGCAGGTACCCGGCCGTCCCTCAGAGAGGCGTTGACGACCTCCAGGATCCAGGTCCCAATCCCATCCTTGGCTGTCTTGAGTAGCCAAGATGGGCAAAGGTCCAGTAAGCAGGTGGTAGGACGCACCTGTCCAAGCACCTTGTCCACATCATCAGGCTGCAACAACTGAAACTCATCCATCAATTGTGGACCAGACGGTAGCATTGGCACCTCCCCAGTAGGATCTGATTCAATAGTAGAGTCCAGCTCGTGACGAATCTGAGCGATTTTCTCCTGAAAATGCTTGACGAAGTTGTCACAGCGGGCCTTCGAGGGTGGCATGAGATCTTTCTTTGGGCCCAGATGTACCAGCCCCTGCACCACCTGAAAGAGCTCCGCCGGATGGCATTGTGAGGAGGCAATGGAAGCGGAGAAGAATTTCTTCTTCGCTGCCCTCACTGCCACAGCATAGGCCCGATAATGGGCTCTCAAGTGTGTTCAGTCAGATTCATCCCGTGATTTCCTCCACCTATGCTCTAAATGTCTCCCAACCCGCTTCATCGCCCGTAATTCCAGTCTATACCAAGGGGAGAAATGGGCTCTGCCAGGTGGGAGAGGACACTAAGGAGCGATTGTGTCAACAGCCCTGGTCATTTCCCCATTCCATAGTTCGACCAGAGCTTCGACAGGAGCACCAGCCTTATCAACCGGGAAATCCCCCAGGTCCTTCAGGAATCCATCCGGATCCATCCGGCTCCGGGGGTGGACCAGCACAATTGGGTCCGCACCCTTACAGAGGGAAAGGCCGCTCTCGAACTCAAACCTCATGAGGAAGTGATCTGACCATGACAGGGGGGTCAGACACAAGTTCCTCACCCTCAGATCACCCTCTTCCTGCTCCGTCGAGAAAACCAGGTCCAGAGTGTGTCCATGTTCATGGGTCGGGCCAGTGACGTGTTGAGACAGCCCCATGGCCACCATGGGGGCCATGAAGTCTTGAGCCACCCTGGTCAGGACCGTCTCGGCATGGAGATTGAAGTCCCCCAGGACCAGCATCCTGGGAGTCTTCAACCCCAAATCCGAGATGATCTCCGTCAGCTCAAGCAGGGAGACTGTTGGGCAGAAGGGTGCATGGTACACCAACAGAATCCCCAATCTGTCTCGGTTGCCCAGCACCAAGTAGGGGCACTGTAGACCCGGTCTCGAGGGGACAGGAAGCCCCGTGAGGAAAATAGAGGCTCGATAAACCAAAGTGACCCCCCCTCCCCTCCCCTCCTCTCCAGGCATGGATGGTGCTGGACCAGATACCCGGGCGGGCACAGTTGAGAGAGGGAGACGTCCTCTCACTCACCCGCCCAGGTCTCTGTAATGCAAGCCAGGTTGGCCCCCTCATCCACAATCAAGTCATGGATGAGGGAAGATTTATTGTGGACCAACCTGGCATTAAGCAGCAGCACCAACAGGCCTGGGGGGGAGGGGCGGTTGACAGGACTACCTGGAACCCTCAGGCTGGGGGAATAACCAGAAGGAGGAACAGGTGCTAGCCATCTGTCCCTCCTTCTTCTACGCAGACACGTTAGACCCTCAATGCCATAACGTGCATTGCCCATAACCACCCCAATGGCAACGCCCACGTGCTCCCCAGGCAACCCCATATTAGTAGCCGAGAATAACTCCATTAAAAATATAAGCTAAAACACATTAAAAACACCTAAAACCACGTAAAACCACTTAAATCCCCCCTAGCACATCCCAGTCCAATTTACAATCCCACCTGCCAGCCGACAACATGGCCCCTGGCCAGCCCAGCTTCTGCACTGCCCCCAAATGGCGGCGACCGCCCTTTGGCCGCCGGCCCTGGCCGCGTCCAGCAAGATAAGCTGGCTGTCTGTCCCCGCCCCCCGCCCCCAATCCGGCGTGGCTCTCACCCAGTGCCAGCGGGGCAGAGAAGCAGGGCGGGTGCATGGCACTCGCGGCTCCCGCTGGACGGCAAGATGACGGCGTCCTCCCCGGCGGCAGCGTTGTCGGCTGTCGACCGGCCTGGCGTCCTCTGGCCCCAGGTGGGTCCAGCGGTGGCTGCGGGGGGTGGCGTTAGCCGGCCCCCAGGGTCCGATGGAGCACCCGCGGTGTTCCCCCAGCTCATCAGATATTTTCCTTTTTTCCTTTCTTTGGAAGCTCCAGGTTTACTCACAGTTGCTTTCTGAGTCTCAGGGACCTTCCTGAAGCACCTACCACTGTTGGAGAAAATTGGAGTCAGCAAGCTTTTTCTTCCTATGAACCAGAGTCT